TTTAAGGTTTTTGTTTGGAGAAAACTAATTTGAAACATAGGTGGCAGGAGTGTATACGATTCAGCACACTATGAATTAATCATGAAAGCTAAATATAACTACTGAGACTTACATATATTCAAACTGATTACTTTTTAGTAATACTATGATTAAACCAAAATAAACTTAGCTAAATTAGACAGTTAAATTTTCACCGTAAAGTGAAAATTATTCTTTACTTGTATAGAGAAATACGGTCCAATGTTTGTTTTGTAAGATTGGAACATTTTTTATATAAGACTTGTTTGTAAAGCTGCAATTTTTTCCCTCCTTTATTTTCTTTAGACCATGTTTCCATTGGTGGCCTTGGAGACAGTTTTTATGAGTATCTGATAAAATCCTACCTGATGTCAGACAAGACCGATGAGGAAGCAAAGAAGATGTACTACAGTGCACTAGAGGTTTGAAAAATGTTATCTTGTAATAGACACAGAGATCTGCTCGTTTTTATATTATATATAGTTCAGTGTACAAATTAGCTCACGGGGTACTTTTTTTGCAAAGCTTAATAGCTGCTATTAGAAAGTTTCTCAAACTCCTAACCACTTTGTATTGGTGGTATTAGGGTAAAACTAACCATTTTAGTGAAATGTTAAGTGTTCAACTCATTGATAGTTTATGTATTTCTAATGTTTGTGCTAAACAAAGGTAGGATGTTGTCTCAACAAGTCAAAATGCAACACAAAAAGTGCTCTTACCTGACAACATTGTCTCTTTGTGGTTGATTTCTGGCCAGTTTTTGTAAATGTTTAACCTGCTGTTACCAATTTTACCTGATTCCAATTTCCCTTGAAGAGCTATAAAAAGAGATAAAAACAGATATTTTTTTTTCTCTAGTGTTTCCACCATGACCAGTCATCAGTTATTAATATCAAGGAAAATATGCATAATACAAAATATGTGAGAGTGCAATATATCACCAGATGTATAAAGGTTTTACTTTTTAAAAATGGAGACAAAATGATGAGAGTTGTTTGCAACAAGCACTAATAAAACAGCAGTCTTCTTGTGTATGCTCAAGTAAAATGCATCCCTATTTTCTGGGAGTGTTTGGAAACTTCCAAAACAATCCCAACTTTTCCCAGTCATAAATGTTTTGACTTGATATTAGATTAAAATGATGAAACAGTACATTTTGATCCTTCCTTATTGCTTTCTGAGCTATCCACTCTCTCACAGCCTAAATAAGCCACAAAATATCTTGACGTATTGTAAACCGATTTTCTATTTTAAATACTTAATATAATAGATGATAACTGAGTGTTCTTTTCATTAGTGGTGCCTAGACATGTTCGTTTCACCCATCAGACAAAAATTTTGTTAAAAAAAATATATTGTCCATGGTCAACTAATTTGGAAATCACATTAATCCAGTTAACACCAGATTTTGCTTTTTCAGTTTTAATCAGTGCCCAAAACACCAACAAGAAAAACAAAATGTTGTTATACCCACCAAAACAACAATGAGAGTGTTTCTTAGCTGAAGCTAACCCAAAAATTCTGCTTTTGAGTTTTCCAGGCTAAATACTGGATATAACATCTTAAAATGGTTACGGTCAACGACAGGGATCTTCAAGATAGTCAGTTATTACTAATGACAACCAGTGAAAGCAAAGTAAAACATTTGGCCAATATGCAGTATCAAGTAATCTACAGTTCATGGTGGGTACTGGCTGAAATTATCAGAGTAAATAGAAAATACCTTTGGGCTCCACATTTAGCGCAGAAAGACAAAAAAAGAGAGGACAATAAACATGTTCTGGGTGACAGATCTTAAAACCTCACAAAAAGAGTAATAAAATCTTTGCCTATTCAGTAAGATAACTTCAAGCTTCTATTAAGACTTCCTCATTTATCATCAAAGGGTCAAGCGAAAGGCTGAACCACTAATTACGGATTCTCCTTCTTAATTGTGACTTGGTATTTATTGGCCATAGACCACAGTGGTGTTAAATATCAGCTGCAGGTTTATTCAGAAATCTTAGGGTGAGGGCAAAGCACAGCTAATTACCTTAGGCATTCAAATAAAAGTGGACTGCTAATTAAAACAGTGTGGAATGAGAAAACATTTTCCAATTATGCTCTGCAATGATTACCACTAACAACTTCTAATTAGTGTAGAAATTATTAGCCTAAACCCTGAGGAAAATATACTTTCTTAAAACAGGATATCTGTAATTTTTGGTTCCATATATTAATGTATTTTCCATTTCCAGAACTACATATTTGTTACAGCATTCTTATCATGTACAACATGCAACAGTTTTGCAATTATGAAGCTGGGCTTGCTATCAATTAATTATATGGAGACAAAACATTCTGGAGATGATATTTAAATGTAAGTTTTCTTTTTCCAGGAGCTTCTTTAACTTAAGTTATTGCATTGTTCCCCAAAATGATAAACCTGTATTTAGCCTCAACTTGAGCTGCTGGTTAGTCAGCTTTGTAAAGAGACTTGCAAAAAAATCCTCATATTGTCTGCTTTAGTAAACTTACAGACTGAAAAGCAACAGCTGGGGGAAAAACAATGTTTTAAACAAAATAATTTATTTTCTATAGATCGGTAAAATATAATAATTAATTAATGTTCTTCATTTCTGGTAGAACTCTGAAATCTATCTATTGGTGAACAAGTGAGGATTCATTTAGTAATTCCTTCCTATCGTCATGGATTCAAAGATCTAATCTATATAAAACAAAAGCCTGCAGCATGTCTGTTCTCTCCCTCTAGCTTGGTTTATTGACACCTTAACATCAATAAGGATTTAGACACAGTTTCTTCATGTTTATCTGATGCACGGCTGTAAAACCAGTAAATTACTTTTAGTTCTACAAGGTTGTTTTACACACACCTTTGCTGTTTTGTTTAAACATCTGTATCGACTTTTGGGTGATTACCAAACTAATTATTAGTGTTTGGCTGCCGTTTATATTTTATCACTGCAAGTAACATTTTATTTTCAATCGTAGAATCGATAGAAAGTACTCAGGTGAATATCAGCTCCTTCCGTGAACCTATTAAAAAAAAAAAGCAGATGTGAGATCTGAAGGTTGCTGATTAGGATCGAGTAGAATCTGAAGCAAGGTTTCTCATTTCATAGCCAGCACTCTGAAAGATTAAAATATTATTCCTTTCTGTTTGGTACTGCAGGCGATTGAAGCTAACCTGGTCCAGAAGTCCCCAGGTGGCCTCACCTACATGGCAGAGTGGAGGGGGGGCATCCTGGACCACAAGATGGGTCACCTGGCCTGCTTCTCTGGGGGCATGATTGGCATCGGCGCTGATGATGGAGCACCAGAAAAGAGGCAGCACTACCTTGACCTCGCTGCTGAGATCACTCACACATGCCATGAGAGCTACACTCGCTCAAGTAAGTAGACGTGTCGGGGTGTCACCATTGAGAAAAGATCTGCACGTACAGGTGCAGTTCAGTAAATTGGAATTTTATTAACTTGATTTTTTAAATAATTCAAAACCTGGCATTTATGTTAAATCATAAAGCAGAATGCGATACATTTCAGGCCTTTATTTCTGATGATTATGGCTTGCAGCAAATAAACATTTTTTTTTAATACATAGATTGTTATGGCCTATATAGTTATGCTAAAGACTAATAAGTCTGTGATGCTACTGCCATCTCTAGTGCTAGTGGTAGCACTGGCATTAGCATGAACACATGCTAAAGCTATCCATCTATAGTTATATTACAAAGATCAATTCCCTATTCTATGATATTCTTCTTCCTTGAGATGCACCTGTGTGAAAAAGTTGGGAAGAAGCCATATTTTAAAGTTTCTTCATACTTTATTTCCTTCATTTTCATGGGTTTTACCTTCTACCAGACTTTGCTCCATTATTTACCATCAGTTTGTCAGGTTAGAAGAGCTAATTAGCTACATATTGGTTTTTTTCTTATCTTACTTTGGTAAATATTAAAAAATATATATATTCTCCGAAAACACAGTTTACCCTGGTACAGTGTGGAAGAGAATATTCTTAATAAAAGGTTTTGTCCAGTCTAACTCCTCAAATCCTATGAAGGAGCTTTTATATCATACATATGATATGCAATATTAATTTACCAGAACCCATAATTTCTAGATTTTATTAGTACTTTTATTTTACAAAATCTGTCTTGTTAGGAGAGGTTAATGTGGAAATTGGTAAGAAAACGAGTTTAGAAAAGCAATGCTGGAAATTAAAAGGGCCTCAGGCTTTTTAATTTTTATCCTCAATGAAATGAAGAAGCTGTCTGTGTAGCTGCACCTCAGGAGATAGAAAAAAGGTCACGTCTAAAATGGAGCAAATTACTTTTTTTTTTTTTATGTCTCACCGCAGAAGTATAGCCTTGGTGTTTGAAATAAAAATCCCAGTTGTGTATTTGAGGAAGTAGAAAAAAGCCAATTAATTGAGACGGAGAGTAAACTTTATTTTTAAAAAAACTTCCATTTGGTCAGGATGAAAATGAAAACAAGAAAAATGATCATGTATACCATCTGATTTTTAAAGTATTGTTTTATCTCTTCCCTGGCATCTGTTCTACTTTTGGCAAACATTTTAAGCTTTTGCTCCCCACTGTTGAATTCATTAAACCTATCTTCTACTTTTGCTACAGCAATGAGCTAATTTAACTCATCATATAACAGTTTCTATGATACACTTTGAATACTTTTGATGTTCAGATCCAAAAGGCTTCTCCAGCTTTCCCTTTCATGATCATCCACCAGGTTCTCTTACTGGGCTCTGGTGGTGCTTAGCATCTTTTGGATTAGCAGACAGCATCAAAGAGAGAAGAGAGATTTGAATTTGTGCAGAGTGGCTGACATGTATCTGTGTTCAAACTCTGATGCCATGAAGGCTTACTGCTGCTCCTCTAAATCTCTGTCAGCTTCGCAACTCGCGACTGACAGGCAAAAATCAGCAAAGAGAGGGAAAGATTATCGATCTCAGAGAGAAGGTTTCAATAAACATAGAGCGCTTTATTGGTAAGAGGACCTAGTGCGAAAATGAACATAAAACCCAACTTCTCATTCTTGGTTGGAAATATTAATGATGGTTTATATTAAAGCTTTTAAATGCATCACAAAATGTGTCAGCACTGATTGATTCAGCCTTGACCTTTTCAGAGGAAATGTTGGCATCAAGTAGCAGTTATTATGATCAACTAAATGACAAACACAGCCACTTCATCTTACTTTGCGTAATGCAATAATGAGCTTCTTTTGACATGTGCTCGATTCTGATAAGATTTCAAAACATACAAAATTGCTTTACATAAATTAAGGTTAATAGCAAATTGTGAGACACTGATGATGTTCTCAGTTTTTTTTTTTAATGATTAATCTAACCTAAGCAACACAATGAAACTTCTTTAATACACTTTTAAGGTGAAAAAAAAATCTTAATATGATCACTAAGGACATGAGGTGAAGGATAACAGTGATATACATTTCCATCTCTATGCATATCAAACTTGTCTAGCAGTTTTACACATTCATAACACAAGGTGATACTGTATATTTCCAGCACTTGTTAAATTAGGTGATTATGGCTTACCATAATGAAAATATGAGGTATTGTCAAGAGGAAGACACTAGACACAGCAATGCAAATGTGATGAAAACCGCTTAAAGCAAACTGGGGTTCCTTAACGCGTCAGCAGAGCCTCCGTGCTCCGTCTCAAAAATCCAGGTATTCATGCAGAAGAAGTCCCAGCCAAATATTCAGTAAACATTACATAGACATTCATGATAAAGGCTGATATTTCTATATTAAAAATGCTTTTTATTGGTTCTATCTAAAGGTGTACATTAATCAAGATTAATGTAAATACATACATTAATAAACGTCTGTGTAAATTAAATCTATGGAATGTGTATTTCCCTTATCATTGTTAAAATTTAAGATGGTATGCATCACATATACACAGTCTATGGCTGTCCTCACCTGGGCCATTTCCTTCACTCTCTGCTCCCTCCATTATCTGCACAACCGTCAAAAAAAGGTCACCAGAGCCACAGAAACCTAAAAAAAATAAAAAAAGCATACTTTAAAAGCCATGGTGAAATTTTTCAGAAAAATACTTTTTACAGTGTTGCAATAATGTAGTTGGAAGTGAGCAGGTGGAGGAGGTTATCAGCATGTTGTTAAAAGGAAACGGTGAAATACAGCAGCAGCTTGAAAGGCAGACCAGATCAGCGTCTGCAGCAGTAACCAACCACTAAAAAACATTAGCAACTTTAACTTTAGAAAAATGAACTTTGTTACAATAAATACAGAACACTTTTATTGTGATTAAATGTATATTCACAAATATCTAATACATTTAGCAAAGACATCTTCCAGGTGATGTTTGTTTGGATCAGCCCGTCATGGTTAAAGCGGGAATTCAGCCAAAAGTGCCAGTTTATTTTTGATCTACCTCCTATCTATTGTCATAAACCATAGATAGTAAAAAGGAATGAGGTCCTTAATAAATACAGCTAAAATTAGCTCCTTCTGAAATGAGGCTGGATTGATAATTAGGCATAAGATAAGGAGCACAGGGTGCCTTAGATTAGAGTTGCCACTCTTCCGCATCGGAAAAGACAGTTGATGGGATTTTGCCATCTGGTGCACTCACCTTCAAGACGTGTGTCTAGAAATGCAGACCTGAGGGCATGAAGTAATATCTGGCACAATACCTCAATGCTGTTGATGCATGTTTTTTAGGAAAGATGAGAAAAATCTGTTGTGCCTGGAGTAATAAAATAAATAAAAAAATCACCTTAGCTTGGGGTGAACTTGCAAACCATGCGCAGAAAGATTGCAGCTAAGATTGCTGTGAGTTTTATATTTGTCAGTATTCAAATACATACAGTCGAGGTAGCAAAGCCATTTGAGGACATTCATGCTTAAATATAGACATACACCTCTGTGTTATGAACAAAATGACTGTAGGTATTTAGTCCATCTCTGCAAAATATAGCTCAAATTGGAGCTGTGTTCTTTCAAGTATTTGTTTAGAAGAAGTCCTTTGTTGAGCTTCAACAGCTAAATAACACATATTAACTTCTAGGAAAAAAAAAACATGTTTAGAATTAAATTGTCCCAAGCTCCACTGGCAGGTTGTAGTAGATTTCTGATTTGCAAAGTTTTGCTTTCTACCAGCCTAAATTGTCATCTTGGGAATCATTAGTAGACCTAACAAAGATTCTCAGGCCTGTACAGAGTTAGTAAATTAGAATCAAAATCAATAACAGGAGAAATCTGAGTCAATAAAATGTCTTTTACAAGCCTTAGAACTGAGTGTTCTACTTACAACACACACAAAAAAAAACATAGATGTATCGGATCATTAAAAGTACTCCCTTTTTTTGCCCTTTCTATTCCTTCAAAATATGCCTTTTGTGATTAACTTTTATTCTTTAGTACGTTTTTAAATTAATTTAAAATTCTAATTTATTATTTTTCCAGCATTCAGCAGGTTCTGTTTTCCTTTAGTACCTGTTGATATTTTGACCTAAACATAATTTTTCTCAGAAAAACACTGAACCACTAATTGCTCTGATGTTTGCTTTTGATGCATGCACACCATAATGAGCCAGCTGATTAGAAACCTGAGTACTGCCTGTGACTCGGACTTTTCGTTTCTCACAGATTCAGTCTGAATGCAGCAATTTGCAGACATTTTGTGAACGCTGTACCTACCCTTATTTAAACAGAGAACAATTTTGTAACAAACAGCATCTGTGAGGGTTTATTTGTTTTTAAACTGAACATTTGGTGCACTCAGGAATCTTTCAAATTATACAAATTTCAACTCTAATGTCCCTGAGCCAATTGGGGGAAAAAAAAAAAAAAAAAACTTTGTGCAAAGAAATATCTTTTGTCTGATCTCTGTTTTCGTCTCTTTCAGCCACCAGACTGGGACCTGAGGCCTTCAGATTCGACAGTGGAGCTGAAGCTACAGCTACTAGACTGAGTGACAGATATTACATCCTACGACCAGAAGTCATCGAGAGTTACATGTACATGTGGAGATTGACCCACGACCCCAAATACAGAGACTGGGGATGGGAGGCTGTAGAGGTAAGACCAGTAAATTAGAATTAATACCGTTTAATGACCAGGATTTGTATTTATTATTAATATCACTTTCTTCTGGAATGTAATGGTTCTCTTGCTGGACATCTCTGGTATTTATTTTGAATAAATGTAGTTATGACTTGTAGCAATGCAACAAACTTAATTGTAGGAATAGCTGAAAACATCACAGATGAGCTCTGTTTATACAAAGATATTACACACAGATGGAATCCATGTTTTGAATTACAACTGGGTTTATTCCTCATGCTCAAAATTGAATTGAAAAACACACCTCTGACCGGTGCTACACACTAGTAATTTCATTTTATTTTTAATTGGGGGGATGGAACAGAGTGCAATTTTTTTATCTGTACTGCTGTCTTATTGGTGGACCTGCATTATCATTTCCACGGTTCTCCTCGCTTATTATGTCAAGCCCTTTCAACACCCTAATTTATCATCCAGCAGCTTTCTTCATATTGTGTGGCACTATACATTAGGTAGTAGAGCAGACAGTTCTGCCACCAAGAAATGAAAGCTGTGCAGGAATCACCATTATTAATGTGGCAATAGGCAGGACATTAACTGCGGAAAACCGTAGCACGCTGTCGTGAGAGTTAGCATTAATTTAGCACTCACAAGAAGAGGAAAGATCAGGCTGACGGGTTTGACAGGGCTATAATTATCAGGCACAAAGGTTGAAAGCGGTGTGCAACACTTCTGCTCAGGAACATCAAGCATTAACACGTCAGGGTCTTTGTTAATTAGCACGTATAAGCAAGCCCTCTGTAGCAGGGATAATAATGAGCTAATCCGCTTGGCTAGCCCAGCCGCTCTCCTCTCACCCTTGTCAGATTTGGCATTACTTGGACCTTAGTTGTGTTGCTGGCTTGGTGCTCATGTTTTATCCTTGATTTTTTTTTTTTTTTTTTAATACATGTGAATACCGTTATTGACCTAAGGATTTAAATTTTGTTTCAAGTAACATCAGTGGAATGAAGCATGTTTTACTCTTGCAGTGAAGGCTCTACACAGTGAAAAACGTCTAGGTAATTTAGTCATTTAATGTGACCGACCAACATAACATAGCACCCAATAGTGAAATAAACAAGGATGCATAATTTTCTACGTGTTTGTACAAACAGAAGAACTGAAAAATGTGTTATAGATTTGGACCCAGCCCTTTTTAATCCCCAAATGATATATAGTCCTACCAATTGCCTTCTGCAGTCATAAACCTGTGCAGTATTTCATGTAGGCATAAATGCAGCAGAAATTAAACATTTTGGGCTTTGTGAAGGAAAACTAATCACTGCTGTAAAAGTTGGAGCAAGACTGGAAAAGTCCTATGACTGGGCTGGAAGTTCACCTTCCAGTAGAGCAAAATAACTGGAGCATACAGACAAAGCTTTGACTGAATAGCTGAGCCCAAGACTTGAAAATTGATTTTCACAGATACTCTAGTCATTCTGACTGACTTTGAGCTATCTGGTAAAGAACAGGAAAAAATGTGTTCCTAGATGTGAAGCTGATGTGATGTGAAGCAAGGAAGCTGGATCCAGACACCCAGCAAACTTTTTATTTTAAAGATTTATTTTTGTTTCAACTTCATGACAACCTTGTGTTGGTATTCCACATAAAAATTGTAATAACATCAATAGAGGTTTCTGGTTGTGGTGTGAATGCCTTTGCAAGGCACTATAGAGATCAGAGTTTGGTCTTGTCATTTACCTGTTCCTTCCTGCCTTTTGTTAGGCTCTGGAGCAGCACTGCAGAGTGGAGTCTGGCTTCTCTGGGATCCGTGATGTTTACGCCCTGACAGCCAGCCACGACAACATGCAGCAGAGCTTCTTCCTGTCAGAGACACTTAAGTAAGTCTCGCTTGCTTTTTAACTTCCCATTGCTGGGAGGAAGGTTATTGTAAGATCTGCTTGCACCACCTTTCATCTGCATGAAAGTAATACAGGGTCAGATCCTGAACACTGGGGATTCATCTCTACTTCTTATCTGGTCTGCCTAAGAAGCACGATCGTGCTTTGAATGAAACAGTCACAATGTCTGCTTCAGAGGTTAATCTAACTTTTAATCAGATACTTTTTACCCATCAAGGAAGGTTTAGTTTCAGCTGTTCTTATACTCCAGGCATTAAGGTACACAAACCAGTCAGTCTACACCAGCATGTAGATGACAAAAGCTTATCCTTTTAAAGAGAGGGGCAGTGCGAATCTTTCAGGTTAGTAGTCGCCAGAGCACCACTGCCTTACTCTGTGCTACACTGCTCCTAACATGCTCCTTTGAAAGTTAAGTGACTTATCTAGATTAAGAAGAAATCACAAATGATGAATAATTGATGTTTTCCAAGTAAGGGCAAAGCATTGCAGCTCGTCAGCTAGGAGGGAGGTTTTTAAACGTGGTCAACATTGAGAGAATATTCAGCCGTGAAGATGAGACAGAGCCGCTGCAACAAGAGCTTTTTCTTCACATCATGGAATAAGTGGGGCATATTAGTTAAAGAATGACAAACCAGTGCATCAGGTTTCATGAGACTACATTACAAACCACTTAAGCCAACTATGAATTTTCTAGACACTGGTTTTTGTTAGTTACTTATTCCTTTTTTTTGCTAATTCACACCCAGATATGGTAAATTTCTTTACATCAGGTTATTCTGTGTTGGTTGAGCATTTTTTTAAAACCCTTTTTCATTTTGCAAAGCTAGCTATCTTTTTCCCTTAAATCATCATTTACTCAGGTTATTGTTCTCTGACATTAATATAGTTTGATTTTAAAAATATTAAAGTGTCAATCAAAAAAGAAGGAAGCCCAGCTCTGTTTGGGGTATTGTGTTTAAAATGCAACTGTTTTTCTTGTTTGTTCAGGTATCTTTACCTGCTTTTCTCTGACGATGACCTCCTCTCCCTGGAAGACTGGGTCTTTAACACCGAAGCCCATCCGCTGCCCATCATCCGTAAAAGCTGTCTGCAGGATGAAGCAACAGAGGAAAAAACTGTCTCTGAATAACACCACTCAACGACTGAGACGGTTACGGACAAATCTGCACAGTTCATGTGCACACAGCCACATTGCAAACACCAATTCAGTGCAGATTCAGGGTCTTTTAAGGAGTGAGTGGTTGACTCTCAGTTCCTTTCCAGAAAAGGATGTTGTCGTTTTATGCTGTGATTGTATATCCTTTCGCCGGGGTTCCTTCCTCCTGGCACTTCTTTTTTGCGGACAATCAAAACAAACATGACTTTCATGAAGAGATACCTTTTTCTTTCCTTCTTTCCTCTGTGAGGAAACCACTATAACTTACAGACCCAAATGTATGGGAGAAGGTTTGAACTATGGGCCATACTGTCAGAGAGCTACAGAACCACTTGAGTTTTGCTCATCATTTTAGTTTACCTTTAGTGATGATGTTTTCCCTTTAGGCTTATTTCTGGTTTTCCTTCGTGAACATGTTGCCCAAAGGGTTTTCTTTTTTTTTGCATTTCTATTCCCATCTTTTAAAGTCAAGTGTGTTGTTGAAATGTAAAGAAAGGAGGAACTATCTGATGGGAGTTAAATAATGTACAGATAAACACAAAATGTGACTCAAATCCACCTCGAAACTAATGTTGATGTCATGTTTCTTACCGAAACAAGGTTGAATGAATTTTTTAAAGGACAGAGATGTCAGGAAAGAGGCTTTGTCTTATGCATCCAGGGACCACATTTAAAAAAAAAAAATATGTTTCCTGTCTATGCTCTGGTAATTTTATTTTCAACAGAACGTTTGCTCGGCCTTTCACAATAAAATGGAGCACTCTCCATTTGTTCACTGTAAAAATAAAGCATCAAGAAAAAAAAAAGTCATCTGTTAGCCAACTTCGGATGCCTGTTCTGTTGGGAGTTTTTTTGCCTTCACGTACATCCATAGCGATGTTGCAGGCTTTTCGGCTGCAGAGACGAGCTTTTACTTTCCATCACTGTTCTGTTAACGGTTGATCTTCTGCACAGTCGTGGAGTGAATGTGCTGTATATACAGATGAAGTGAGTGGCACCTGTATGAGCTTGTCTTGACTTTAGTTTGTGTCTTTTTTTTCTTAATCTTTTTCTAAAACTTCAGTGGTTATTTTTGTTCTGGGTTCTCTTTGATTTGCTTCCCTCAGGTGTTTCAGTAAAAAGAAAAATCGACAAATGTCTAATTTTAAGTCTAGTTATTGCTGATATTAATTATTGTTATTACTTATTCTTACTGTTTGATTTTACTTTGTTCAATATTTTCAAATACTGATTAAAAAGAAACTGTGCAACTTTGTACATTTAAAACAATCAATTGTTGTGTCATTAATATTGATCGGCTTGTTTGCTTAAACTTGCATTTTCTTATCAGTGTTTAATAGCAGGAAAATAATCTGCAGTCAAACAGAAAAAAGTGCTACTCGGCCGCCATTTATAGCTGCTTCCAGCAAACTAATCGCAGATTTAATTAAAAAGGTGCTTTTTTTCGTTGTTTTGGAACGTTCCAGCAATCATGACCAGAAAATGACTAACGGTGTTTAGCTGCTGCACCGCACGCAGTGTGACAAGTCAACAAAGCGAGACTTAATATCATCCGCTCCAAATGATTCAGCTACAGCTGCTGTCACCTGAATCCTAATTTCATCGAAATACCTTCAGGTGATTTCACATCCACTGTAAATGCTAGAAACATACATTATTGCCATTTAATTGTAATTTGATGATGTTACCTTTCAAATGTCATGGATCCTGTATAAACTGTTTAGCGCTACAAGCTCAAATTGTCTATTAAGGAAATATTAGCCACGTTACATCCTGCAGCCAGAATATGATTACAATATTCTCCATCAGATAAGCTATGCTAATGGGATGATGGGGCACAATGTGCATCATTACACATCTCGACTGATGTTTAACAGCACAAATGAGTCCATTTAGAATCACCCACCACCATCAATTTTTTCCCCTTATTAGATCGGCGTTGTTCCTACATTATTCATTAAGCCAAAGCTAAATTTGTCAAAAATCACATCTAAGTTTGAAAGACACAAGTTTATCCCGCATCTGTTCTGATCACTACCATCACTTTTCCATTTTCTAGATATCGGGTTCAGTGAGCCTTCTATAAAAGTCAACCCAGCACTGAGCCTCCTATTTAGAAAGACTGATTGCTCAATATCCAAATAATGCATCCCATTCCCTCCACACTGTGCTGATAACTGGAATCAGGCCATTTTCAGCTGAACGCAAAAATCTAAATCAGTCTCATTCTGATCAATTGATCTGTCGTACGCAAGAGCCTTAAAATCACGCTAAAATCTCTTCCACAACTGCTGGGTGTGAGTGCTTCTACTGAGAGGAAATTATCACTGAGAATTTTTTTTAAAAGGCATGTCGCAGTTCATTGAGGCTGTTGGGGAGAGCAAAGCTTTTGGCAGACACCAGGAAGGCTTAAAATGTTTCATCCTCAGTCACGGTAAGGTTGTATATTCTCTTAGGAATACAGAGACCCGTCTACAGTTAAAATCAATGTTTGTTGTAAATGTAGAACAACATGCTAAATGCTTAAACATGTCGACTTTGAAATTTATTAAATAAATATACAATAAATTAAGCTGCAGGTAAAGTTGGACATTTTTAGTACAAATTGTATTAACATTACCAAAACATTTCCTCACAAAAAAACATGTATTCACAGGGGTTTTTTTTCCCCCATGGTGTGTTAGCTTGTATGGAATACAAGTATTAAAACAGGAATGCCAAAGAGGCTAACTGACCTAGAAAAAGCCCAAAAATAAATAATTTGAATGACACCCATCATACATCTTAAAGGGAAATTAGAATTAACTAAAATGAAATCAAGCAAGGAAAAGCTTTACAAAAAATAGAGATCAGAAATTGACTGATTGGTGCATCAATATTATACAGTTTGAGCTCAGGCTGCATCTCTGGTTAGCTATAGAATTTCTTTCACAAGTGGCATTAGACCACAGAATCCACAAAGTCTTTGAAACAAGCAATTTAATCTAGGAATTTGTTCTCTTGCTTTAATAACAATGGCTAATCCTAACCCTCAACTGAGTTTATTTCTAAAACAAACAAAATATTAATACTAGTAAAAATATCTATTTTATTCCCTGCAATTACAATCGGATACAAAAAGTGATTGATTTGCATTACTAGAGTGTAATATTTATATCAGAGGATTGATATACTATTAAACCCCTTCCAATATTAGCCTATGGAATGAATGCAGTGGTTGTGTTTATGTCTACGAAATTGTAATTTGACCTCTTAGAACAAAGAGTCAGTCCATCACGTTTTTGTTCTACCTTCAGACTTTATCACAGATAACAGCTGCCAGCCTAAACAAAAAAAACTGCTCCCCTTAAGATGATTCACCTGACAAGAGGAAAGGAAAATGCCTGAATATAAAAGCATTAAAGTAAAAGAACATACAAAACTGACATTTCCAACTTTCATCCACAAAACCTGAGGTGATATGTTTTGAGTTGTAACATCTTTTTTCATTTCAACTTCTTCCTGGTTACTGGGTTTTCATGTAAACTGTGGCAAAAGCTCAAAGTACAATAAAAATTTGTACTGCATCTATGATTTGCATTTAACCTGACATTTGATCTGATAAGATCTCTTAATCTTCTCTTCAAAGTTCACCTGCTTGGCGCTGTCCCGGTGCTCACTTTAGCTGTTCAAGAACCTCAGCCAACACCAGCTGCTTTCAATCATAAGAACTTCAACATCTTTGCTTTGCTGCAGCTCCGAATCAAAGCTTTTATCACTTCAGAGACAAAAACAGTAGAAGATAAAGGCAAAAGGAAGTTTAGCTTTGTGATGTGACAGGTTTAGTCTCTTTATCCCTGGCATCTCAGCTTCCTACCTCCACCTTTGACTGATCTCAGACACCTTCCTTCACAATCCTTCAGATGTATTCTGGGAAAAATTTTAATATCACACAGTTTTCAAAGCAAAACAGCTCTTAAATGCTGCTATATGACAAAGTTAGTAAATGATATCACAATTATTGAGTAGAACATCTCATTCTTGCAGCTTAATTTCCGAGTGCTAAATTTGGCAGGGTAAGGAATAAAACCCTGAAATTGACAACTGCAGGTCACAGACATTTTTATGGTTTAAGGATAATTCTGAAAGTTTGAAAACAAAGTACAAAAGGAAAAAGTTAATTTTTCTCTATATTAATTATTAATTATAATTAACAATTATAATTATTAATTATAATTAATATAGAGACATTTCTGATGGCTTAAGCTAAGTCAGACTGAATGTGCAACAACTGCAAACATAAATGTTTGTCTTTTGCACATATTCTCAATAGGATTGAGGTAGGACTTTGTCTGGGCCACCAAGACACGCATATATTTCGATCTTAAGTATTCAAATGTAGCTCTGGTTGCATGTTGGGGGTTGTAGTCCTGCTGGAAGGGGAACCTGGAAGGAGAAAAACCTGAAGCATCACAAATCCACCTCCGGTTTCTTTCAGAAATTCAGACTTTTCTTATGAAAAAGAGTGAACTGCTTGCTGTAATGGATTTTTTTTATTTTATCATAACCATTAATGTCTGATGAACAAAGACATGCTTGAAAGATTTACTCCAGGCCACATAAAAACTTGTGGCAGTATGTCCCATGCTATCATCTAATTTTATGATTATTAAAACTTATGCGACCATTACCTCAGATTTGATTAATGGAAATGATAATGCTTAATCAAGCTATGCTGTCTTTTAATATTCATATTCAATTATAGACCAACTAGATTACTAATAGTACTGCTTGAAGCTGAGTCTTGGTTTCATTATCATAAATCTTGTTAAACTTTTCTGTTAATGCCGAATGACAGATTAAGTTTATTCAGCTTTTTTATTAGACAAACAGTGTTCGTCCTCTCCATGCTGAACAGGTGCCTCACCTCTCAGACAGACTACTGTGCAGT